CTGGACTGCCAGCACTGGACCAAGGATGAAGCCAAGGATAATACTGGAGCATGGAGAGGGTAAGTAGATACAGAAAAAATCAAGCAAAAAATAGAATTGGAGAAAAAAAAAATCTAAGAAAAAAAAAAAAAAGAGAGATATACAATAAAGTAGAACTTTAGTTAGGTCCTGCTAGATCACTTCAGGCTGGCCCCTTTTGCAGGTATAGTTATGTAAAACATCAAAAACATGTGCCTATACTGATTCATATCTAGTAATACACTGTCTCACCCTGCTCTGCACATGTTCAGTTGCTGTGCCGAAAAGGTAGAGGCTGATCTGCTGACAGCCTACAGATTTACTGCTGCTCAGGGGTTCTGGGCTTCAGCAAAATGGCAGCCCCTGGCAAGAAGAAACAGGAACAATGCTGGAGGCAATTTAAAGCACACTCTAATTGTGGTAGCATAATTATTAATGTGGAATGCATGTTCTTTGCTAAATAACGTTTTTTTTTTATCAAGTTGTTAAGGATAAAATTCTACTTTAAGTGGCAGGGAGAAAGGTCATGGCAAGAATGTAAAAAACCCAAAAATGCTTAGCTGTATTATTTGAATCGCCTCCTGATATCCATGCCAGTGAAAAATATTAGAAACTATGGTATCCTATTTGAAAAATCCATGCAACTTACAGGGATAACCCTCCCCAATAGTAACTGCAAAGATGCTATGATTCCAATTAAATTACACTAAATTCCAAGGCAGCAAATGGTACAAAACGATCACCTTTATTTTCCAATTAAACAACACTGCTATCATAGCTGAAATTCCAATGTATATAAAAAGAGCTCTTTTGCTAGCTAGCACTCCCCTTTTTTAAACAATGCCCTTCGTACAAATGCAATGCATGATATAAACCTTCAGGAAGGCGAAGAGCATTCCGAGAGACTGCTTTATGCTTTGTCCAGTTTGGAGTCCATTCTGCTACTCTCGTCTCCCAGGTATCCACTTGTATACAATTTCAGTGGCTTGGCTTGTTGGACCTCTTCTCTCCGTATCCCTTACAGTCCCCAGAGACGCTCCTCTAGTAATTAAATCCAAGTATCGCTTCAATGACAGCTGTGTGGTCTTGTAGAGCATTCTCAAGAAGAAGCAGGGACACTCTGCTGTCACTTGTAATCTGCATTAACGAGCGAGCGCATTTTGTTGGCACTTCACACATCCTGGTTCCGCTGAGTAATATTTACTGTGAAAGAACTTGCCCATCGGTGTTTGACTAGTTTTGATGGAAACTGGATATAGGTATCTTGTTTAGTAGTATACAGAATCACTTCTCAGGCTTCTGAGGTTCCTGGCTATAGACTCAATTCTGAAAGATATCCCATTTATGATGCAAACTCACCTAAAATCTCCAAAGAAGAAGAATATTTTCCCTTGAATGACCTACTAACTGTCAGTAAAATAAACACCAGAGCACTGAGTGTTCAACAGAGACTTCAGTAGTGTGTGTGCCAATGCGAATCTTCCTCTTCCTTCCCCCTTTCCCCTCCGTTTCCTTTAGCCAGTCAGTAGGCCTTAGCTAGGCCCTACTGACTGGATTATTCAGCAAACATTGAAGTCACCTATGTAATTATTGCTTTTCTCTGCTATGGGGGGGAAACTTTACAACTCTGATCTGAGCTCAATTTATCTCTTTGTTGGATTTTTGGTTACTAGACACGGAGGCCTTAGATTAAAGTTGGTTGTCCAAGTCCTTAGACATGAAATCTGAAATAAAGCTCATATTTATAACGTGTTACTTGTCCTCTCTCCAAAAGCACTACAGTTTTCATTTCTGTCAGCGTGTCTTGTTCCTCTGTTATCAGCATGAGTTTTTTTCCATGACACAAAGAGCTAAAAAGATGACAGGATGAGGAAGCTCCAACACACTCAGCGTGTGTATTAACAGCCTCAGCTCTGTGCCTGCATGCTGTTTGAAGTGGGGAGGGGGTGTCCTTCCCTTCCAATCTGGGCTGTCAGAGCTCTTGTACAGTGTTGGTGACTGCAAGCTCTCCACCTCCTTGCTTTATGAGTACTGTGACAAATCCTTTTGAAGAATGTGATCAGGAAGGATAAATGCTCAGATAAACAGGTACAAACGTATGTAGGAGGATTTGTTCACCTCTGTATCACCTAAGGTTGAGTCACTTCACTGAGTATGAGGTAAAAGTTTGCAACTACTTTAAGCCTGCCTTAGGTGAGTTTAAGCATCTGGCTCTATGTTGCTGTTTCTCTTTAATCCCTTTCACTGGCATAAGGCCTATGGCAGATAACAATTAGCTTGCAGCTGGCCCAGATTCAAACATGCCTTACTTTGGCTGCATTTCCTTCTGCTATAAAAAAACCTCAATTGTCCAACTTTGAACAGACTAATGAACGTAAAGCGTGAAGGGTACCACTTGAGACTGGTCTCAAACTAGGTGATTTGCGTGTGATTAACTCTCTGACAACCGAAACACTATGCTACCCTCTCCACCCCCCTTGCACTATGCTCTCTGGTCAACGCACAGATTCTCGCACATGGGAACTGCGTATCTCATAGTCCACAACCCACTGTCCCCTGTGGTATTGTGCCAGGTCCCGCAATCCCTGCTTGCTCTCTCCCGCCAACTGTACAGTCACTGACTGCAGGGCTGTGGAGGAATATTCGTATCGGTGCATTGATAAGGAGAATATTGATCCATTCAGGTTATGGCAAGCGGGGAGATTGGTACCGTCTATACACATTTACTCTGTTGAGGATCCTGCCAGTTCTAGTGTGCTCCTCGACTGTCCTGTACTTTGTCTGCCTACTACTGCCTCATCTGGAAAAGTCCTTGGATCAAACTAGAGAAAGGGATAAATTCTGCCTTTACTTGTGTTACCAGTCTTCTAGATTCTTCTAATCATGTCTACGTTCGCCCTAGTAATGTGTATGTATATGGAATGTGAGTTAGGGGACTTTTAAAGAGTAAGGGATCAAAAAAAAAAAACATACATATTCACACTAGATGGCTGCTAAGCATCGATCCAATGCTGCAGCTGTCCCTTGCGGCTCTACACACAAGAACTGAGGGAGCAATAAAAGTCTGACGATTTCTGAAACACTCAATTATGGAGTCCGCTCTAAAGCTGTCAGTCACCGCTCTGAGTTCTACCCCTCCAATCGCTCAGTGACGGCATGCTGAGAGACTGAGCCACAGCTGACAGTTAGGCATCTGGGCGGATCCCATCATTATTGCCCTCTATATCGTGCTCTGTCATGGTTAGTTCAGGAGCAGGCTTTAACCAGAACTGAGTGAATTCCTGTGACCCACAGGAGAAGTATATTCAGAAGAGCTTTGGCCATACTTTTCCTTTAAGTTGTACGCCCTTCGAGGATGGTGACTGATGTGAATGTACAATATATATGTAAAGAGATGCATAAACTGTCAGCGTTATATACTAGTATCTCACAGAAGTGAGTACACCCCTCAACATTTTTGAAGTAAATAATTATTCTATATTTTCATTGACACTCCCTGAAGAAATGGACACTTTGCTAACAAATGTGACATAGTGAGTGTAACTGCTATGTATAACATGTAAATTTGCTGTCACCTCAAAAATAACTCAACACACAGCCATTAATGTCTAAATCGATGGCAACGCAAAAGAGAGTGAAAATGTCCAAATTGGGCCAATTAGCCATTTTTCCCTCCCCGGTGTCATGTGACTCAGTGTTACAAGGTCTCAGGTGTAAATGGGGATCAGGTGTGTTAAATTTGTGTTGAATAGCTCTCACTCTCTCATTACTGGTCACTGGAAGTTCAACATGGGCACCTCATGGCAAAGAACTCTCTGAGGATCTGAAAAAAAAAAGAACTGTTGCTCTACATAAAAAGATGGCCTAGGCTAGAAGAAGATTGCCAAGACATGAAAAGATGTGATAAAAATATTTAAAAAAATGTAAGGGGTGTACTCACATCTGTGAGATACTGTAAATACCAGTAACAAACAAATAAAATAATAACTTCCCCCATTTTTATAGTCCGAGGTAAAAGAAATAGCAGATTCTGCAAATTCACAAAGATTTTACACACGCCAATTAGCTGCTCTTATTTTCACTAATATGATACCAATTTCTGTGGGGAAAGATGAATAGTTTGCAATATTACAAAAATAATTAGTTCCGGTTTAAAGCAAGGTCTTGTTTCTATCACATTACTGTAAAAAGAATCACAAGGGTCCGCATGAGCAGAGCACCACTGCCAAATCTGAACTTGCTGGAAGCCATAAATAAATGGACTGAGATAAACCAAAAGATGACTGTTTACTCATTTCAATACTTCAAACAAGTTAGGATGCTATAAAAGGCCTGATCCTGATCAAAGGTTCCATGGTGTCTAGGGCTAAATTAGCAGGTAATAAGCACTCCTAGTTCACAATGCTGTCAGTCTATACTGGGAGCTGGCTAACAGTTGGAGAGAATAAAGTTAACATAGACTAGCCATACACAGCTAGATTTTTTTGTTCAGCCCCCAAGGGTCAAAACAGCAGAAAAAATCTCCCCTGCCATCTATTGTACCGTATATACTCGAGTATAAGCCGAGTTTTTCAGCACATTTTTTGTGCTGAAAAAACGGCCCCTCGGCTTATACTCGAGTCAACGTCTGCCCAGGGGGGGCCCGAGGCTCCGTCAAGGGGAGCGCGTACAGGGGTGGGCAGAGGGCTGCTGTCTCTTACCTGGCTCCCACGATGATCCATCCAGGAAGCGCTGCTCCTTCCGTCACTCCGGCCACTCCCTCACTCCTGCCGCTCGGCTACGCCTCCTCACCGGTGATTGGCCGCCAGAACTGTAGCTCAGGAAAGGTACACAGGTGGCCAATCACGGGCGAGGAGGCGGAGCCGAGCGGACCCGCGAAAATCGAGTGAGGGAAAAGCCGGTAAGTGTGCAGTGCAGAGGTGCTGCTGCAACCACATATGCTGGCTGCAGCAGCACCATACTGCAACAGGGGTCAGCAAGTGTCATTGGTGTCAGTGGGAGGAATAGTGCCGCATCATTGGTGTCACTGATACTAATGATGGGGGCATTATTCCTCCCACTGATACCAACGATGGGGCACTATTCCTCCCACTGACACCAATGATGGGACACTATTCCTCCCACTGATACTAATGATGGGGCATTATTCCTCCCACTGACACCAACGATGGGGCACTATTCCTCCCACTGATACCAATGATTGGACACTATTCCTCTCACTGACACCAACGATGGGGCACTATTTCTCCCACTGATACCAATGATGGACACTATTCCTCCACTGACACCAATGATGGGGCACTATTCCTCCACTGACACCAATGATGGGGCACTATTCCTCCCACTGACACCATGATGGGGCACTATTCCTCCTACTGATACCAATGATGGGGCACTATTCCTCCCACTGACACCATGATGGGGCACTATTCCTCCCACTGATACCAATGATGGGGCACTATTCCTCCCACTGACACCAATGATGGGGCACTATTCTCCCACTGATACCAACGATGGGGCACTATTCCTCCCACTGGACACCTGATACCAATGATGGGGCACTATTCCCTCCCACCAATGATGTGGGGCACTACACCACTGACACAATGATGGGGCACTATTCCTCCCACTGACACCAATGATGGGGCACTATTCCTCCCACTAATACCAATGATGGGGCACTATTCCTCCCACTGATACTAATGATGGGGCACTATTCTCCCACTTTATTTTTTACATTGACTAGTAGGTGCCTCATTTCCCACCCTCGGCTTATACTCGAGTCAATCGTTTTTTCCCAGTTTTTTGTGGTAAAATTAGGTACCTCGGCTTATATTCGGGTCGGCTAATACTCGAGTATATACGGTAATCAGGCAGCCGTGACACCTGCGGCTTCTTGAATACTGAATCTGATTGGATGCAGTCAACCCACCGTTTACCCAACAATTCCCAACAGAAACCAACTATTCGCCTCCCACACAAAATTAAGGCGGGCTGAGTGCTGCTCAGCCATTCACAGGGCGCTTTGTATTTTCTGAACACATAGCTTTCTCTGATTAGCTGAGGGGGTGGGGGGCAAATGATGTCATGATCTCCACGTCAGCCAATCAGAAGAAACTTTCTATTCATTTATAGACTACAAAGCTATCTGTGAATGGCTTGACTCAATTTTGTTCTTGGAGAGGGACAGGATGTTCCCATCCCACTGCAGGAACATAGCGCTGTATAATATATTTAGCTGATGCTATACAGTTTATACAGTGCTCCCAGTAGTTTGGACCAGCTTGGTCTGAACAAACTATTAAGGACTCATGCACACTGAATGATCTTAACCAATTCCCTAGACGCCTGTCTCCTGGCAGCAGAAAAATAATTTGGAAATGTGTGTATCGCGCTAAGTCACATCAAGCGCTTGGGCATTCATTAATTTCATTGGCCAGAATAATAATTTATTCTGGCCACTGAATTGAATTAATGCTCAAGCACTAAACACGCCTAGTGTTAACGCATGTTTATTCATGTTTTGCCGTGTCAAGCGTATTTCTGTCAAAACTCTCCTCTCCTGAACACGAGTCTCTATACGCTGCTGCTTATAAACACTGATAAAAGCCTATGTGTACATGAACACAGTCTTTTATTGAGGTGTGCTACAGGGCTTTGACAAAAAAAAAAACACACAAAAGCCCCAATTCACACTATATACCAGGGGTCTCAAAACTTGCCAAGCAAAGGGGCCAGTTTACTCTTCAGGCTTTAAGAGGGTCAGACTATGGCCAGTGGAAGAAGAAAATGCCCTGGCATCAGCACCCCATTATTGGTTTTAATGGGAGGAATAGTGTCCCAATATTGACATCATTGAGAAAAATAGTGCCCCACTGTTGATCGCAGTTAGAAGAATAGTGCCCCATTAATGGTGTCCATAGGGGGGGGATTGGTGCTCCCAGCATTGGTGTCAATTGGTGGAATAGTGCCCCAAGGGCCAGATAAAGGCAAGCAAAGGACCACATCCAGCCCCCAGGCCACAGTTTGGAGACCACTGCTATATACTCACTGAATCACAGTACGGCCTGAGTGATTCACCGCTGCGGCCACTCTGTGTTTCCAGCTGCGTCCCAGTTTCAGTGTATCACACGGCTTACTTTTTTTGTTTTGTACAAGCTTTATTTGAAGTGTACAAAATATGCTGTGCACCTCATTCGCTGCAATGTCAGGCAATACGATATGCTGCACTGCCTGACATTGCAGAGCAATTCAAGCCCGTGCGCTGCCATAAAATGCTGCATGTCTGCATTTTAGTGAAGCGCTATGTTACGTTGCAGTGTGAATGGGACACATAGGAAACAACTGTTTCCTGTGTGTCCCTGCGGTGACAGATATTTTTACTGTGCGGTAAAATGTCTGTCACCACATATTGTGTGATTTGGCCCTAAAAGCTGAACATCAGCTTTAAATACTGCATTTGTTTTTATACATTAGACAAAAAGAAGGACAACTGAGGAGGAAAAGAGGGATGTGGTTCCAAAAGACATAATTTGGAGCTTTGCTGTAGATCAGGCTTTCTTTACCAGGGTTCAGTGGAACCCTTAGGTTCCTCCAGAGGTTGCAAGGGGTTCCTTGAGCAATGAGCAGTTTCTGCCTCTTACAAAAGTAACCATGACACCATTAATCTTTTTGGCTATCTGTAAGGGGGGGATTCCCAGTGATCATACTATTAACGTGCCATGGGCTGAAATAGTAATTATTAGCAGGGGTTCCCTGAGATTAGAAAGTTATTTCAAGGGTTCCTCCATGTTAAAAAGGGTGAGAAAGGCTGTTATAGAAAGATAAAGGACCCATATTTCATACATTTACAGAATATATTAGTTAAATAGTTGGTCAACCAAGCTCTCCTTGTGTTGTCACTCCTTCACAGACAGCTTGATGATACAGGAAGATATCATACAGATAATCTATGATAGACTGCCTCACTATCCAATCACAGACTGGGGTGGTCTTTCAATCTCGAAAAGTCGACAACAAGGTGGAAGTGAACAATTCTTCATTAATAACAGAGTAAAATGATCCATAAAACAAGCAACACGGAAACGTTTCAGTCTATGAAGACCTTAATCAGAGCTACGAATAAGATCTTCACTGACTGTGCGTCAATGTTGCTGGTCTTGTGGAAAATGTTACTGTTATTTATACATGTTATTAATGAAGAACCAAGAATTTTTTACTTCCACCTTGCTGACTTTTCGTGACTGGATGTCTACGCACAAGCAGACGGAAACTGCTAGTCTGGCATGGTGATGTATAAGATGTAGCCTAAGATCTGACAAAACGGGTTGAAGCATCATATTTTGGCTTTGACTTGCGTCTATTGGTCTTTAGCTGGCCATACATGGATAACATTTCGAACAAAGAAGTGTCATAAAATGTGTGCAAAAATTCTAAGAACAGTCAGATGTTACTCAAAAGAGTCTGTCTTCTTTTAACATTTGATTTTGGAATAAATGGACTTTACTAAACTAAAGTACATACACTGTTAGAAATTGCTTCGTTTGAGAAAATTTTTCCATCTGGGTCCTTCGAATTTTCTCACCACATATGTATTTCTATTCCATATTAACTGTTAGCTGCATGCTTAAAGTTCAGATCTTACTGTAATGAAGGTCTACGACTTGGCCGTGCTGTCTGGCAGTGGTGTCAGTATCAAAAGATGTGCTGGACAGAATTACAAATCTTTTGGCAGCTGTAGGAATTCATATGCGTGTTTATCTGCTTGCCAAATATTCAGCTTTAAAGTCCAGTATGCAAACAACTAAAAAGACCACTACAAGTTTCCACAGATTCAGGGAAATTTGACTAATCTATGTACAGTGACTTGCATCTAGCCATACACAGAAGGATGTCACGGAACTGAACATTCACGAGACACACACACACACACACATGCACACACACACACATGCACACACACATGCACACTAATATGTAAAAACGAATGTTTTAAACCACAGTGTGCCATTGGTACCAGTGACCTACAGTAATTACATTGTTATATCTTAATTTGGACAGCTGTACACCTTATCAATACAGCTTATCACCTAGCCAGATATTTTCTAAATATGCTTTCAATTCATTTATGCTTCTAGCATGACTAAGAGCCTGAAAGCTTGCTAGGTGCTATAAGATAGGAGTTTAATCAGAAGTACATTAAACAATTAAGTGCTTGGGTAAGTATGAAATGTCAATACTGTCACGCAATGTCAATGATAAAGGGCATATATTCACTCCACATGCAATATGAAGAGATGTGAAATAGTTTTAGCTCAGTAAAGGACTTACCCCGTATTTTTTGCTCCACAAGACGCACTTTTTTCCCCCAAAAAAAGGGGGGAAAAAGTAAGTGCGTCTTATGGAGCGAATGTAAAGCGGCCGGTCCGGTATTTCTGACGCCACCATGTCATAATATCGGCCGGACGCTCAACTCTTCTCTCCTGCAGGACCATACCTGTTCCTCGCCGCTCCAGGCGCTGCAGTCTTCCCACGGTGGCTTCTGTGACATCCGGGTGCCCACTGCGCATGTTTGAGAAGCGTTGCGCTTTGTAAATGGTCTGGCGTCTTCTGGGACACATGACAGGTCCCAGAAGCCTCTGGGCCATTCACAAAAGCACAGCGCTTGTCACGCATGCGCAGTGGGCACCCGGATGTCCGCAGATCTCTGGTCATCTCCTGTACTGTGTCCGCAGTCTCTGGTCATCTCCTGTACTATGTCCGCAGTCTCTGGAAATCTCCTGTACTATGTCCGCAGTCCTCTGGTCATCTCCTGTACTGTGTCCGCCAGTCTCTGGTCATCTAATGTACTATGTCCCGCAGTCTCTGCTCATCCCATGTACTATGTCCGCAGTCCCTCTGTCATCTCCTGTACTGTGTCCCCGCAGTCTCTGGTCATCCCCTGTACTATGTCCGCAGTCCCCCCCTCTGGTCATCTCCTGTACTGTGTCCGCCAGTCTCTGGTCATCCCCTGTACTGTGTCCGCAGTCTCTGGCCATCTCCTGTACTATGTCCGCAGTCTCTGGTCATCTCCTGTACTATGTCCGCAGTCTCTGGTCATCTCCTGTACTGTGTCCGCAGTCTCTGGTCATCTCCTGTACTGTGTCCGCAGTCTCTGGTCATCTCCTGTACTGTGTCCGCAGTCTCGAGATCATCTCCTGTACGGTGGTCCGCAGTCTCTGTCATCCCCTGTACTGTGTCCGCAGTCTCTGCCCATCTCCTGTACTATGTCCGCAGTCTCTGGTCATCTCCTGTACTATGTCCGCAGTCTCTGGTCATCTCCTGTCACTATGTCCGCAGTCCTCGTGTCATCTCCTGTACTGTGTCCGCAGTCTCTGGTCATCTCCTGTACTGTGTCCGCAGTCTCTGATCATCTCCTGTACGGTGTCCGCAGTCTCTGGTCATCTCCTGTACTGTGTCCGCAGTCTCTGGTCATTCTCCTGTACTGTGTCCGCAGTCTCTGGTCATCCCCTGTACTGTGTCCGCAGTCTCTGGTCATCCCCTGTACTGTGTCCGCAGTCTCTGGTCATCCCCTGTACTGTGTCCGCAGTCTCTGGTCACCCCTGTACTGTGTCCGCAGTCTCTGGTCATCCCCTGTGTACTGTGTCCGCAGTCTCTCGGTCATCCCCTGTACTGTGTCCGCAGTCTCTGGTCAGCCCCTGTACTGTGTCCGCAGTCTCTGGTCATCTTCTGAACTGTGGTCCGCAGTCTCTGGTCATCTTCTGAACTGCGTCGCAGTTTCTGGTCATCTCCTGTACTATGTCCCAGTCTCTGGTCATCTCCTGTACAGTCGTCCGCGAGTCCTCTGGGGTCATCTCCCTGTAACTGTGTCTCGCAGTCTCTGGTCATCTCCTGTACTGTGTCCGCAAGTCTCTGGTCATCTCCTGTAGCTGTGCCCGCAGTCTCTGATCATCTCCTGTACTGTGTCCGCAGTCTCTGGTCATCCCCTGTACTGTGTCCCGCCGTCTCTGGTCATCCCTGTAACTGTGTCCCAGTTTGGTATCCCCCGTACGTTTTTCCGCGTCTCTTGGGGCATCCCCCGTACTGTGTCCGCAGTCTCTGGGCATCCCCTGTACTGTGTCCCCAGTCTCGGGGATCCCTGTACTGTGTCCGCAGTCTCTGGTCATTTTTTTGGGCC